GTGTTGAAAAATTATCATTAATTGTTGGAAATTTAAATTTTTCTTGTTTACATTGATTATTTGAATTATTTGTTAATAATGATTGAATACTGTTCATTGTCAAAAGATTATGATTTCCAGGTGTTGCTGTTGTTGGTGATTGTTCATGTAAAGGTAATGTAAGATTTGAATGAACTAATGAATGATCATATGAAGAAAGTGGTGTTGATCTTTCAATTGAATTATTTGGTGTATTAGAATTTGATAATGATGATGTTGCTGAATGATTTGATGATGGTGGTTGCATTGAACCTAAGAATTTTTTACGATATTTTTTAACAATATTTTGATATTTTCTATTGGCTGCTTGTTGAAGAAGATTTGATTGTTGTGTATGTAATTGTTGTTCATTTGTTTGATTTATATTTGATGATGAATGATCTGGACTAATAAGAAATGAATTAGCTGTAAGTTTATCATCATTACCATTTGTAATTGTATTTGGTGTTGATGATGGTGTTGCATAACGATTACGTGCTAAACGTAAAAATGGTAAACGTTCTTGTTTAGATATTAAATGATGTTTTTTTATTAAATGATCGGTTAAATTTAAAACCCATGTATCACAACGTGGACATAATAAACGTTTTTTACCATCAACAGGTAAATAATTTGATGATTGATTATCAATAGGTGATGAACTTGTTGTTGTTATTGATGGTATTGTTGTCGTTGTTGTTGTTGTTATTGTTGTTAATGATGATTGATTTAATTGTTGATTATCTGATTCACTTATTGGTGATGATGGACATGTTATTTGTTGATTATTTGTATTAATACTAATTGGTGTTTGTTGTGGGCTTTTATCCATAGCAATTGATGGTGTATTTGTTGGTGAACTACCACTAACACTTGCTATTGATGGATGATTATTATTATTATTATTTTGATCTGTATATGCAAGTAATGTTAACATTTCATTTCGTTGAAGATTATGTGTAACAGTAAGATGATGAGAAAGACGTGAAAAATTTGTTTCTCCACATATTGGACAACTTTTTCCACGTCGATAACCTGCTGTTTGAGAATTTGAGATTCTAAAAGAATAAATTATGATTTTTTATTTTAATTTTAGTGTTTTTTTATTTTCTATCATACGTTGATAATGTATTCTTAGGAGTTTTATTTGTTTCTTCATCAATTGTTAATGGTTGTTCTTGCAGATGTTCACTATCAGACGAATTTTCATCATAATTTCGATTAACAAATACACAAACAGGTTCAGATTTAATTTGATTTGTACTTAAATTCCAACAACCATTTTCATGTAACAGTGGTGTATTACCTTTTTCATAGAAAAAAAATTTTTTTTTTAATTTTTCGAAGAAGAATTTTTTTTTTTGTTTTTAATTTACCATTAACAACAGATGGTGTTGATGTGATTTCAGATCGAAGATCAACTGGTGTTGGTATTTCATTTTCATCAGATAACTAAATAAATGAACAGAATTTTTTTGTTTTAAATTTCATTCATATTATTTTACTTCATCTTCATCTTCTTCACTACCCAATTGTGGATATGTTATAGAATAACCATTATCATCACATTGGTCTAAATTCTCATTAACCATGGAATCATCACCATTAACACTTGTTTTACGTAACATAAAACGTTGAAAATCATCAAGATTATTTAATGATGAAGTATTTTCTATCATTCCATCATCATCATCTTCATCATCATTTGTATCATCAATAAATATAGCTCCACCTGTATTTTCATCGGATGATAATTGCATGAATTCATCATTACCATTAACCATTGTTTCATTCATTCCATCATGATCATCATCCCCATCAACTGAACGTTTAGCACGTTTACCCAAACGTATACTATTTGTTAATATACGTGATATTGATGCTTTACTTAATACACGATTTGATGTACGTTGTAAACGCATTTGTATTTGACCAATTGTTATTAATGGATGACGACGTTTCATTTCTCGTATCATTTCAGCTTCTTCTTCTGTTATAAACCGAAGACGTGTACCAGCACGTTGTTTTGCTGATACACGTCCCTCATCAATATATGTTCGAAGAATACTTCGAGCTAGAAAAAAAGGAACATAATGAAAGAAAAAGTAATATATTTTTATGTCAAATATGACTTATGCATATTATCGGAAAAATGTAAGATATCAATAAACCATAAAAGAATATTAAGAATATATGTGCTATAAAAGCAGTTTGTTTTTTTTTTCTTCTTTCTCACCTGTTGATCTTTTAATATTAAGTTTTTTTGCAAGTGCAATAAAATCTTCTCCTTTTTTATATGTTTCAATTAGTAATCGACGATCAACATCACTAACACGTACATATCGACCACGACGTTGATCGGCTAATTGTTGTTGAATATCCAATGAGTTCATAATTATTTTTTTGAAGTCTAAAAAAGTGAAACAGCTGTTTTCCACTTCAAAAACAAAAAAAAAATCTGACGCACACACAGCTTAATGTAGAAAAGATTTTCCAATGAGAAATCTCTTTGAATAACAAAAAAGAAAATAAAGAAAGAAATCGTTGCCCTTTTTTCATCAACTTGCCATCGTCGAAATGCTCTTTCGCATTTCGGTGTATGTGTAGGCCAAAAAAAAGAAAAGAGAGATAGCGTAGCTGAGGGTGACTTTAACTCTCGAGCATTCGTTCTGTTCCCTTTTTTTTCTCGTCTACATATATATATATATATATATATATATAAATGTATGTGTCTACATAAAGACGAACGCACTTCTATTGAAATTTTCATTGCATCGCGTTCTTTTCTTTTTTCTTTTGTATTTACTTTGTATACCTTCGTTGAACGGACAAGAGACATTCGTTGTAGTAGTAAGGTTCGTTTTTCCCGCTTCATACTCGTTTGTTCCCTGATGTATGTGTATGTTCTTACCTCTTTTTTTCCTCCTCTGTCTTCCTCTCTTTTAAATATATGTACACCTTTCTCTCGTCTCTATTTCATTCAACATAGAACGAACATTAAAATGAGCGAAAGAACACAAGACGAATTTTTGTATGTTGATGATGGTGATGGTGGCGGTAGTGGTCGAACGGACGATAGGCTTCAATATGCTTTTACTATATCTAGATTCATCATTCTCTTTCTCTCTAGACGTGCTCTTCGCATTTGAATACATGCGAATATAATACTTATGCTTGCTCAAAGAAAATACAGTAGAAGAAAGAGAACGACAACGAATACTGTTTGGTTTGTTAGGGTAACATAAGAAAAGAAAAATAAAGAATCCGAGAATGAAACTTTAATGGACGTTGATGTGACAGGACAAAGCTAAGAAGTTGAGAGTTACCGATTGAAAAAAAAATATACAAGTTTATAAGCAAACGTTTTTTTTTTCTTCTTTTCTCATTAGAATTTCGATTAAATTCTCAATTACGAAGCCTTTCATGGTATTTCAGTATTTCCAATAAAAAAAGAAGACTGAAGTAGAGCAATTTATTTTTGCATTTCCATCAAATGCAATTTGAGAAAATAATCTATGGGAGAATGAGTGCTATTTTTTTCTTCTTCATCGATTTTAGACCCATAAAGTAGAATACATCATGTTTGAAATCATGATTGATATTGATAAGATAACGATCATATTCTGATAAGCAACAAAGTTTCATGCATGAGAAAGGTAATCGACTTATCCTATACTTACGCAGAAAAAACAGGTGAATGAAAAGAAACGTCTATGTCCGAAGTCTAAGCCAATCTACCATTCGTTGATGTCCTTTATTCTACATATATATACGTATGCATATATATATATATATACTTCATCTCTCTCTGTATTGTGTATGAGTGAAAAATGCTTGTGTATGTGTGTGCTGAGAAGCGAAGAGAAGAAAAGGAATCTCAAAGACGGAACACTACACTACACATTCGTTTTCTCGTTCTTTTACTTTGCTTGCTTGACGAGCGAAAAGAAGAGTAAGAACACACACATAAATACGAAGAGTAAAGAGAGAAATGTTACGGTGAAACACTTTTAGCCATCATCACTCTACCAACAAACGGCTGTGCGTTGGCGAGAAAAAAAACCGAAATAAGAGAGAACGTGAAATTGACGACGAAATAGTTGCTGACGGACGTGCCTATTTACCCAGAGCGAATACTATCAAGGTGTTTTCTTTTTTTTCCTTGCTCCTCCTTCCACATACACATACACAAAAGCTAAGTAGAAAGACTATTTGCTTTATATTTCGTTCGTGCTCTTTTTCGCCTTTTCCTCTCCAGCTCTCTTCTTTCACTTTTTCGCTTATATAGACGATGTGGATTCATCATTATTACAAATGCGAGACGTTCGTTCGTGTTGTATGCTCTGTCGTTCTCTCTCTTTCGTCTTCGTGATTTGTATTTGAGTAAATGTTAGCAATTTCATTTTATGTATATACACATATATGTCTTGTCCTCAATCGACAGTGATGTTATTGTTGATGATGATGATGATGATGATGACAAAATTAGCCCTCCGGAAAACATAAAACCCACAAAGAAGAACATTGAAAAGAAAAAACACGATTGACATATTAATGCGATAATCAATTTTAACTCATAATACATTTTTCGCGATCGTGAATATATATATTAAGTGATAGCTGTACGATTTTTTCGCTTTCTGCTTCACGAATATCGTTAAAACAATAATAATATCGTTCGTACACATTACAGCAAGAGAACGAGACGGAGAAGAGTAGAAATGCAAACATCACTCAAGTGTATATATATGTACCCAAAGGGGCACACGAACAGAACAAAGTAAAGAAACTATTGTTTTCCCGAACATTGATGCTGATCAATAGAAAAGTATACACACAAACATGCACACATAGAGAACACTTGTATCAAATATCCATTTATAATGGTTCAAATGAAATAAATTGAACTATTGATAAGAATATAAAACATATTAAAAAATCATAGCAATTTATTGGGAAAAAAAAAAAAGAATTCTAGATCTCTATTTGACTTCCCGATCATTGAGACCCGAAAGATCTGGACGAGGTCGATGTCGTCTAGTGGGTACGGTAGCAAATTTCTTTTGTTTAAATTCTGTTATAAGTGAATCCATAAAATTATTATCTGCTAATTTATTGTTAATTTTATCATTATTTAAAATAAGTTTTTCAGATACTGATTTAGTTGAATTTAATAATATTTTGTTCGATGTGAAACATTTTGCTCGTTCCTAAGATACAAAAAAAAAAAAAAGAAATACAATCAAATAAAGAAAATTTGTTCTTTTAACTATACTTTTTTTTCTTTTTCAACTTTTTCAATTAATTGTTGAAATATAGTACAACATGTATCATAATTAAATTCATTTAAATCTGTTTCACCAAATTCTTTCAATAATTCTATTTCTTGTTTTTCACATTGATTTACTAATGGTTCAAGAATATGATTTAATTTTATATTTGATTGCTATTTAAAAAACAAATATTAAATGAAATAAAATTTTGTTTTCTTTTCCATACTTCATAAAATGATTTATATTGTTCATTGATTTGTTTATCTTCAATTGAATTTATTTGTATAAGACCATTATCAATCTTATGTTTCCAATCCATATATTCTGACTTTACTAATTTTAATCTAGAAAATATAAATATTTATTTTTCATTAAAATTTAAAAAGTTTGATTTTTTTTTGTTATTTTACTGTATATCATTGACGAGTAATGGTTTGAGATTATCGATAAATTTAAAATTTTCTGGTGAACCTTCGAGAAGAACACCAAGTAAATTTTTATTTTCACTTGAACGAATATCATGAAGTTGCTTGAGAATATCAAGTCGGAAACCAAATGCATTACCAGCATATGAACCCTAGGTAAATTCACATAAAAGAAAAAGAGTCTTTTTTTATCGAATAGTTTTCAATGAACACTTACATAATTAAGAAAATCTCCAACTGAAAGAAGTGAACGAGCTAATTGTTTAATAGATGAATCATGCTGTAGAAAATTAATTACTTTAATAATACTTTCATATTTTCGTTTAAAATCATCAAATGTTTCATCAAATTCAGTAATAAGAATACGTGTTCGTACACGAAATCCATAATATAAAATTAAACCAATTTCATGAATGAATTCTTCTGGTAATGTCCAATTTTCTCGTGGATAATCATGAACAAGATTAATCTATTTTTTTTAAATAGGAAACAAAAATGAAGAAAAACATTTTTTTTTTCGTTTCGTTAATTTACTTCGTCTTCAGTTGGTAAAACTTTAAGTAACATTCGAAGACATTCACCATTAAGATTTGATTTTGAATCTTGAAGAGATTTAATGAATGGTTGAAGTTCAGTAATATTGAATTTTTTTAAGAAAACATTTATAGCAATGGATCGATTACAAGGTAAAATCTGTAAACATATTTAAACGATATCAACTTCAAAATAATCTTGCTTCTTACATTTATTGTTTTAATTTTTGTTTGCAATACTGTGTTGCTAGTTTCGTTATTAACTTTAAAACAATCTTCAAGTTGTGAAAAATCAATCTGCGTATCAGCGTTTTTATTAACATCCATCCAAAATTGACTAGTAGCTGGAAGAAAATAAAAACTTAATAGGAATAGAAATAAACAAAATACGGCACATACTAAGAATAGTTTGTGGTAGTTTTTTCCATTGTAACCGTCGCATTTTGCCCTTCGGCTTAGGAATACTATCAACTAAAATAGAACGGCCAACAGCAGGTGGTTTGTCACCAAACTGTCCGAGTGGTGGAGGTGGAGGTCCTCCGAGAAAGCCTGGTGGCGGTGGTGGAGGTCCTCCGAGAAAGCCTGGTGGCAGTGGTGGTGGTGGCGGAGGTCCTCCGAGAAAGCCTGGTAGTGGTGGCGGAGGAGGTGGTGGTATTCCGCCTGAAATGTTTGGTGGTGCTGGCGGCGGTACTTCTGCCCCGCTTCGTGATGTTGATATAGGAGAAGAGTCTGCTTGCACATTAATTGGAAGTAGAGAAGGTGGTGGTGGCGGGATAATTGTTTCAGAAACAGATGACTCATTTGCAGGAGATTGAATATTGATGGATTTTTCTGTATTGATTAATATGGAAGTTGATTGAGTATCGCAAGGCTTTTCTAAAGATTTTTCATTGGTAATGACTGGAGTAAATGTTGGAACTTGTTGATAAGTAGAGGAAGATTTAGTATTGAATTCGAGAATTGCATCTGTTTGTGATGCTTGGTCGATGATTATTTTTTTCTCGGAAACTTTTTCGATTGGTTCAGAAATAGATCGAAGAAGAGATTGAAGAATTTTTTGTCTAGAAAATAAATGAATAGAGAAAAATTTAAAAATTTATTTATGTATTACATACCGTTCATTGGAATTTGACGATGTTAAAGTAGAATATAAAAGTTGCATTGTTGTAAGAAAAAGTGCTGATTCATTTGAACTAGATGCTAACTAAAATAAAAAAACAACGGAAAAAAAGACAAATATTCATTTTTATTAATGAAATTCTTTCGATAACAAACTTGTAACTGAATAGCTTGATAAACAGCTTGTACATCATTGGAATCAAAATGTCCGAAAAATTCTTCCTCATCATCTTTTTGATCTTCAAAAAAACGGTCAATTTGAAAATTAAGATCAACGTCATCATCATTTCGTGCTTGTTCTAATATTGATATGATATCATTTGCTAGAAGAATTTTTTCAATAATTTTAAATTTAAAATCAAAATCTTAACTTACAATAAAGTATATTTCTATAAGAAAGTCGTTTTCCAATAGCTTCAGTTGATGATAAAATACTATTGAGTAAAGCCATAGCTGACCATTTATGTTTAGCCATAACGGCAAATTTAAGTTGTTCAAGAATAACAGCAAATACATTAGATAATTTGTTATTTTTCTTAAAAGAAACAAACACAAAACACACAGTTAATTTGTTAGTCATAACATCACAAGAACATCATACAAAACAACTAAATATACCTCAACTGTTTGATTTTTCTGAAATTTTTTTTTTTGTTCTATTAGCTTCAAATTCGTAGACATGTTTAAGGTATATATTTACCTGAAAATCTTGTAATGCTTTAAGAACTAATTCATAACCATCGAGTGAATAAACACATAATGCAGTTAATAATTCAAAAACACGCATACGAATTTCAGCTGATTGGACATTTAAAACTAGAATTAAAAGGAAAGAAAAGATTTCTTTTTGTTTTGTCATTGAAATAATTTCACACTTTTACCTTTTGCTATTAAATCGATATATTGTGGATTTGATGCAATATGTTCAAATAATTCACTAATATTCATCATTGCACGAAGACATTGTAATATTTCATTAATAAGTATAGCATCAACAAGTGATAAAATTTTCTGTGTAGTATGTTCAAGATAAGAAAGTAATGTATGTAAACCACCTTCACGTGCAAATTCAATAGTCCATGTTCGATTATTTGAATCTAATAATTTCTTTTTTAATAAAACACATTTCATAAATGTTAAATCATGAAAAATATTTATTGCTTCTTTATATGTTGAAAATAATTGTTGGTCATTTTGCATACGTTGTTTTTTCTCACGAATTTGTTCAATTATACGACGTATTGAACGAATAAATAATTCACGTCCTCGAATTGGTTTTATAATTATCGGTTGTTGACTAATATAATGACGAAATGAATTTGGACGATATGATAGTCTCATAGGCATAATACTATTGTTGGGTGATGTTATTGAAGAATTTAGTAAATTAGTTACAACAGGTGGTTGTTTAGGTGCTAAAGTTGGTGGCGCATATATTTGCCGCATGATTAATCTAAATAACAGATAATAAATATGATTTGATTAAGAAGTTGAAAAATCCAATATAAAAATATAATATAAGTAAAAACATTTGAGCAAAAATCGTTCTAATGTTAATAATAAAAAAAATGTGTTCTTATCATTATTCTAATCGTACTATCATAGAAAGACGAAAAAAAAAAAAGGCATCATTGGACTCGATAAATTAATAAAGATAAACTAACTAGAAATTCAATTCTTTCAAAATAACTGATGACTTCATTTTAATTTCATTATATATTTTTTGAAAACAAATAGACTAATATATAAGGGAGATTTTGAAAAATAAAAAAAAAATCGTTGAAAAATACCAGCTAAAGACTCAACTGTATCCGCTCTGTATGGCTGTGTTGACTCAATTTAATTTTTCTGTCCCGCGCACCTCTATATATATACATGTATATAAGCGAAACAAGTGAATATACAGCAGTAGTAATGATAAGAAACAATTTTGTTACCCTTGAGACAACCATTTAACTCACATTTTTGACAAAGAAGAATGAAAAAAGAGTAGGCATCTTTACTGTTTTGATGACTCATCTTTAGTTTACTCATTTCGTTTGCATATTTTTGTTTTCGAGTGATGCTTGAAGCATTATTGTCCCTTTTTTTTTATGTGAATGTCTATGAAAGGTAAGAATGATATATTTACTAACAAAATAAATAATAGAAAAAAGAAACCACTTTCTATAACTACTGTGTTTATGTTTTTTTCAAGAAACAATCATTGATTTCATTAATAAAAAAAATACTAAAATGATTCAGTTCGAAGTCACTTGAAGCTTAATCATAAATATGTATATTTAAAAAACCCATGTTTATAAATCCATCGAGGTTAATTTAAATGTCGAGCATGACAGATAATTATTCATTGAGTCAATAATACGTACTTTTTTATTTTTTGGTGATATAGAAATGGATTTATTATTAATTTATTTAACACTAGCTGGAGTTTAGTTCATTAATTCAGGAATCATAGCTTCTTGAAATAACAAAAAACACGCAGAACAATCTTTTCAAGGAAAAGATCTGGTATTTAGATCAAAATCAAGATGTTGTAAAATTTATTCTAATATTTCTGTTTTATATAAAATGTGCATATACATGTATATATAGATATTGATTAATGATGCGTCACTTTGAGATAGACAAGATGAAAATTAATGAAGATCGAATAAAAGGTATACCGACAGTATTCTTTTTTGCTCAGACATACATTTTCAATCCTACTCCTTTTTTTCTTTCATTGTCGCTTTAATTGTTTTTTAAATATTTTTGGCTTCCCTTCATATATTTAATCCAACCATGTAGTAGGCCAAGGTTACCATTTTTTATACTTCTAATTGGGTTTAGTCAATTTGTGAGAGAGTACAGGTGAAGTACAATGATGGATGTGCAAATTTTAAATACTCTGAATACATTGTACAGAAAAAGTAATGAGCTGACAGATCATTGTTATTGAGAAAGAATGTTTTCAACCTTTTTTTTGTCAAGGATGAGTTGAATGTTTGTTTTTGACTAAAAAAATCTTCTAGTAAAAAAAATGATAGTTAATCATCTTTATTCACTGTATAATACTGAAACTCCAGTCGCATTTTTTATCCTATTTTGATATGCTGATTACTTTGAAATAAATCTTTACAAATGTATAAAACGATTTCAATTGCATTATATATCATATCTATTTAAAATTTAATTTGAGTTCAAGTATAGGATCAATATATCAAAAGAAATCATAGATTTAATCAATTGTAATAAGGTAGAATGATTCGTACTCTATAACTATTCTCAAAACAAAAGTAGTTAGAATAAGAATTTTTCGATGAATTCTGTTAATATACGATACTTTATATATGTTGAATGGAGAAAAACTTGACACATGATATATCAAAAATATACTTCAGAGAGTGGCTCACCAGAGGTCTAAATGGGACACGGTACGTAAAAATGAGCTTCATATCGTATAGCTCTGTATTGAAGAAAGGGAATATAAAACTTGCTCTAGTCGAGGACAATAAACGCTTGATAATACCAGTACAATTGACGTATTTATAATAACTCGTAGCATACAGCTAGCTGACTTGCAAGTTCAATTAATTGAAAATAATCAAAATTACAGAGATTACGAAGAACAACAGAATCATAAACTATTGCGATAAATAATATGTGAACATTGCTGTTTTTTTTTCTTTCGAAAAAACTCTACGATTATTCTAATGTAAATCTTGAAAATAGTTTGAGTATAATAAAATAATGCTTCATAATTGTAGATAGAGATATGCGTGTTCAATTTAAAGTCCCGGGAGTGGGACTACGAGAAAAAAGCTGCTCTAACCAGAGCGAAAAATTAGAGTTAAATAATCTATGGTTGCAAGCGAATTATTATATAAGTCAGACAGGGATGGGTGAGTCCGAGTCATGAATCGGCCTCGAGTCGACTTGAGTCACGTTTTTTGATTGACTCTGACTCGAGTCATTTACTTAAAAACGTTTTCATCTGTTCTTTTAGAAAAAGTATTCTCAATTTATAAGATTAAATTCTCACTTATTTAGAAACCTTGTCCTAATTAAGTACATTGTATACGAATCATTTTGCGAAGAGTTTTTTTTGACCTATATATTCATGTGGCCGAAAATGATGCCTTACGCGTATTGACGAATATGTGCGTTTTTTTGTCGCATTTTGGTTTTGAATCATCTTTGAAGGATTTATACGTGCATGTAATAAAATAAAGGAAAACTTCGCATTGTGTTACACGTCATATTCTTTATTACGCTGTAATATAATTGTCTTTTGATAGTATTTGGATCACAAAAACGTTTCATTATTCATTTGGCATTTTCTATTTTCCAACAAAGCTTATGGATGTGCGATCTTCTACTTAGCCACATCTATCCTCTTATTGAAAAGAAAATTAATATCTATATCTTGGCAAGCATGCTACAACAATTGTGTGTTACGGGTATATTAGTATGAGATGAAAGTGTGTTTTCTCAAAATGGTCTTTCAATGAGATCGAATTCTTTACGTATTACAAATGATAATATTTCTATTCTAGGATCTTTTGAGAGCAATAAGGCACTTAATTTACATCCATGGTGATCGAGAATTTTTGCTTGTAAACAGATTTAAGGCTAGATTTTTGCTTACAAAAGCATTGTACTTTTTTTACTTTGGTGAGACGCTGGGTGAAATTAAAGAGTTGATTTCACTGTTCTTATTTTGTTGATTATTCTAGATAAGTTGTGTTATTTATTTTATGGGTAGCCTATTTTGGTTTACGTTCGTAAAAACTAGAAACTAGATCTTGTGTGATGAAAAGTTTGTTGTTGACTCTCTTTATAAACACAACCAAAGAGCGAAAAGATGGCAAAAATAGCTCGACTCGACTCGAGAAATGGCTTGACTCGCCCATCCCTGAAGTGAGAACATGATTCAAGAGAAAGAACTCAAAAATAGTCCGCATCTTCGATTTAATAAATCAAGACCCGAGCATTGAAGATTTTTTTTTAGATGTGATACTAATCAATTTCGGAATAGCTTTTTCTGGACTGAGACCAAAAAAGAACTTGATCGTTGATATCTCTAATCATGAAATATATCAAGAAAGCTTTCTTATTCAATAATTATTCGAAGTAGATATTGTCACTACAATTGATGTTAGTCATATTTCTATTTCGTTATTTAAACTGATCTTCTGTTTTCTATTAATGAGAACTTCTGTGACACTGATATCATTTTGTAGAATGTTTAAGAGTGCACAGTTTATAAAAGCAAAACTAAAATTGCTTGTATGTAAAGTAATACTATTGAAGAATGTCAATTAATATGCTTCTTTTCAGTATATTTCTCGATATTCCTCGTCCATCCACAATGTGAAATCTCATTTTCTTTGATAATTTCTTTTTCTAACGAAAACGAGTTTCAATTATATTTATTTAGAAATTAATTTAATAATCAATTGTATTATAATCTTCAGAATCTAAACTACTCAATTGTATGATATGATAAGTCAAACAAAATTTAAATCTTTAGTTATGATCTAAACCCTATGAAATTTTATTCTGCTCTTTCTTCAACTAAACAATATATATGGCCCAAATAGATTAATGCTATATGAATTCGATTTGTATTCAATATTTTTCTTCATTTATTCATCTTTTATGCCACATATACTATATATCGACTATCAGCCACTCATTGCAAGTAAATTACCAAAACTAAACAATTTCGTTACTACCATACACAATATCAAGGGTGCGATCGAATGTCTCGAGAATTTTAGTTCTATATGTAGAAATGACTCATATTCATTTATTATTATTATCAGATGAACTGGTTTCTTATTGCAAATAATATTATTAATGTCTTGCAAATGTATTAAAAGATTTCCATCTTGTAATCAATTTTATCAAAGGTAATAGATTGAATTCTATAATGAATGAAATACGTCGATTTATCAAAAGAAATAGAGATGTATTCGAACAGATACACGAAAGCCATGTTTATTTCTCAGTCGTCTGTCCAATCTTACGAGGGAACCGTTCGAAGTGATTCAAAGCTTTTAAGCCGATATTTTGCCCATAAGTAGAGTTCAATGAGATTAGAAAAAGCCCAAAAGGACAAGGGCCCATGGGCCTTTCTTCTCGAGTTATGGTCATTTTACTGGGTTTATCACCTATGATACGATATTTACCGAAAAATCAAATTAAGGAGTTTCGACCTGAAATTTTGCCCACATATAGGTCTTGTGGCCCGTATATTAGCCTGAAAGTTTAAGCCAAAACGAATGCACTGTTCTCGAAA